TAGTATTATTGTGTGTGTGTGTGTGTGTGTGTGTGTGTGTGTGTGTGTGTGTGTGTGTGAGTGTGTGTGTGTGTGATATGTATGATATTGTGAAAAATGAATCGTTTAAACAAATATCTGTATATTTTTTTTCATAGGTCTCACGTATTGCAAAAAGTCTGTATGTATTTTACTTACAAAGTGCGCTACACAAATAGCAGTACAGAAATACCAGAGTTTCCCATTGCGCCCGAGATTGCCCTTGAATTATTAATGGCCGGCAATTTCTTAGACTGTTAAACATCTATAGAAGTAATATCAGCTTGTACTGACAACTGAATTATAGAAATAATATAGCTTTCTTTATTATGATTGCTTAAGATATGTCTATATATATTGTGATACTTGGAAGACCGTACTTGGAGCATAATTGATCGCTTTGGATTCTCATACTTGGGACAAACATTTTGGTGCGACGAGACAATTCAATGTCGAAGTTTTATAGTTACAAAACCTAAAGATTTCACATTTTGTGTTATGCTTCATAATTCATATGGTCATAAACACGTAATATTGTAGCACTTACACATATATCATCTGTTATACATTTAAACTATATATTTCAGTAAATTATTGTTGACAAGATTAGAAATAAATTCATCTTTATATATTGAATCATCAATTACGTCAAGTGATTAGTGACTTTTCATTATATTAATATTATCTGATATACATATATAGATATTTCTTTCATTAAATATAGTTAATTTATTTTTGTTTTTACTGGTTACTCACACTTGTATCATCATTACTCAGGCACGTTGTGAAGTTTATTAATATATCGCAGAAGAAAGATTAGGCTTGATGTAGAACACTAAATAAGATATATCAGTTTTAATAAATGTAAGTCAAATATTGTATGATATGCAAAAAAAATAGGCAAATTACAATTTTATAGAAGTTTTGTAAGCGTGTTGAAAAGGTCTCGTATACTAATAAATATAATGTACAAAATGCAACATGCTTTTTAGACTATTGCTCTAACTCTCCTATATGATGATTCTATTTTTTATTTATATTTAAATAACTGTAGCCTAAGATATAATTATAATTATCATCTTATTGTATAGGATGTATAAAGACACAAAGATTTATATATAAATTACAGCTTCATTTACTCTTTGTATCCTTTTCGAGATCTTTAAATTTGGCTTCAAGTCGCTTGGAGTACGCCGCTAGTTTATATGCAGCCTGCTCCAATTTACTAACACTGTCGTCGATCTGATTTATATTATCCAGGATCGGTTGTAACTTCTGATATTTGTCGTTCAATGAGTCCAATGATTGTGCTACATTCGAGGAGATAATCTTCAGTTCCGTGTATTTGGCGATGGTCTCCTTATTGAGACGTTCCAATAGCCGATAATCTGCATGAGTGGCAGTGAGCTCCTCTTGCAGGTACTCGCCTGTCTTCTGGAACATTGTGTTCGCCAGGCGACTCAGGTTCGGGTCATGAGGATCCAGCGCTTCGAAACTGCTAGTACTAGTGGAGAGCGTGGTGCCGCGTTTTGGTGATTCGCACCTCGAACTTTGCTCCGCAGATAGACTGTCGATCAACCTTGCCTCCGTCTGCGCCTCGTCTTTTGACGGGTCCATGACCGGAACACAACTATTGCAAATATATCACAGAACGGCTCGACTGGATATGATCAAAATTTGAACGAATATTTTAATACATAACGCAGATACACGAGGCAGGTCACGATCATCAGCTGATGATAAACGGCCCTAACCTAGTGTTCTTTAAATCTCCATATCCCTGTTCCGACACCTGCCTTATATCACAGTTATAAACTCTGCTTTCTTTTTTCTTCAATTCAGTGGTCACAGCGGATCACAGCGGATTTGTTTTTAAATTATTAATACAACACGACGTCGATCGTCGAGCCACGAATTTGACAGATACGTGGAGTTGTACAGTCTGTTTGTCTGCTACTATCTTTACAATCATGGTCGCTTTCGATTTTATTGATTTCACGAATGGACAATGAAATTAATATGCAAAATCATGTTTATGAATAATATAAAATTTCTTTTTATAGGAATATTTTATATAGATCATATTTTGATTTAACTTTATCATTGATTGATTTAAATATCCACGTGTGATAAAGAAAAATTAATCATATATTGAGGTTATGATAATACAGAAAATGTCAGGACAAGAAACTTTCTCACAGTAATAAATTGTATATTTTTAATTTATATTAATACCAAATTGCTTTTCAGCAACATATA